TATATATATATATATATATGTGTGTATATGTGTATATATATATGTATATGTGTATATATATATATATGTGTATATATATATATGTGTATATTTGTGTGTATATATATATATGTGTATATATGTGTGTGTATATATATATGTGTGTATATATATATGTATGTATGTATATGTATGTATGTATGTATATGTATGTATATATATGTTTGTATTTGTATGTATGTATATGTATGTATATGTGTGTGTGTGTGTGTGTGTGTGTGTGTGTTTGTATGTATGTGTTTGTATATATGTATATAGACAGTATATTGTGTATATATAGTATATGGATGTTTTGTGACTGAATTAGATGACTTATTTATAGATTTAAACAGGGTTTAATTTACCCATTCATGAATTGATACATTTAAAAATGTGCACAATAAATGGTTAATTGGCCTGAGAAGATCTTTAACAGGCATCTTTAAAATGGAATTACAAAATAGATACAAAACGTTTTCCTGTTTGATTTTCTGATGTGTCTGCCTGTCATTGTCCAGCTCACACCTCAGTAGGCTCCCATTTTCCCATTTAGTCCTGCTTGACAGATAATCTTATCTGATGGAGGTCAACAGACTAAAATATTGATGTTGCATTGATAAAGTGAGCACTAGTCAATGAGTGCAGGATTATTTGCTTCTGTTAGTGCCTTAAGGCCTGAAAAATAAAGTATTGTTGCCAAATCAAACCACTTTGTATTAAAAAGCTCAGTTGTGTCTCTGTAAAATGATGCCCAGTGTATACCTACAACAAACTTTCATTTAACAAATAATCACTGTTCCCATTGACATAGTTTTCTGTTTATCAAATGATCTCATCACTGACTGACAGTGTCAGTAGAGATGTGTACTGATCACACAATCAACCATCTTAACTCTGGCTTTCCACAGTCTTGTACCATGTTATCCTTTTCATCCCATCACACATTTCTTTTGTAACAAGGTATTAAGTTGAGGTGTTGGGCTGAATGTGCCTCCCTGTGCTTCAGGTAAAGTGTTCCTGGGTCCTCCCAGACTGTACCAGGAGCTGGAGGAGCTACAGCATGACCTGGCTGTAGTGGAGGAGGTCTCACTGCTGGTGGGCACGCTCCACGGAACCTACCAGGTACCAACGCTTATTGCTCTCAACTAATCAGTGCACATCTTAATTAAAACACATTTGTTTTCTATAGACCTATATTTTATAACTTTATATTTAGTGCTTATTCTATTTCTCTTTACTTCCTGCTGTGAAGCATTTGTAACTTAAGTGTAGTGATATATAAATGAAATGCATAAAAAATACATAATTAATTCATTATAGTGATGTTACTGTGTTTCCAGAAATCACCAAGTACAACTGTGTCATAACGGATAGAAATGATGGCCAAATACCAAATAAGACCCAAGTTGTATGAAAGTAGAATCTAAAAGCTGATTTCTTCCTCCTTTCTCAGAAGAAGTTAATAAAGTAGAAGGCAATCTAACTGCTCCATCCTTTCTTTCCCAGAATCTAAACACCATAGTGTCTCAGGACTGGTGTCTGGCTCTGCAGAGGCTCCTCCGTCTGAAGGAGGAGGAGATCCAGAATGCCAACAAGTGTCGCCTGCGTCTGTCCATACCAGGCAAACCTGACAAGTGAGTGTCAGGAGGTTGATGAGGAACAGGCTCAGAGCAGGGACAGGGAGGCTCAGCTGTAGTTAGGTTCAGGTACAGGTGTGTTAACTTGGATTGCAAAGTATTTTGCATATTCATGTGCTTTCATGTCCACTACACGTTTTGTTCCCAGGTCTGGTCGTCCAGTGAGCATCATTGTTGTCTTCAACACTCCCAGCCCCCTCAGTAAGATCTCCTGGGTCAACCGGCTTCACCTTGCCAAGATAGCTCACAGTAAGTTCAGCTGTGTGTGTGTGTGTGTGTGTGTGTGTGTGTGTGTGTGTGTGTGTGT